TGGCCGGCGTGTAAAGCCCCCGGGCCCAGGCCTGGAACCGCAGTCGACTATGTGGGAGTCCAGGGACACAGCCATTATGCTAACTGCTGGTCCCAATAATTCTTTAAAAATAAATAAATAAATAAAAGACCTACCACTCAATTCAAAATTTAAATTTTCTTTGTATTAAACTATAGGGGGCCAGCAAGTGATGTGGTAGTTAAGGGTGCTGGACTCCCACATGGCCGACCATGGTTCGAGTCCCAGACCTGGTAGCTTGCTTTCTCACTTTCTCGCTCTCACTCTGTCCCTCTCTGGTCAAATTAAAATAAATAAATAAAGTAAAACTAAAATAATTCTTTTAAAAAATGTTTAACTATAGGTGTTTATTGTCTTCGTTATACTTTTTCTTTCATATAGCAAAAAATATTTTATAAATTTACTGAATATTCACACACAAATTTGTACTTACCACAAATAAGTTCCACTTGTTGTACCCTATTCATGCTGTTCAGGGTGTCCATTAAAGGGTCTCTCCTGTCGGCCGCCTGGTCAGTCTTGCCTTTGTTCTCATAGGCCAGGACTGTGTCATATTCATCTGTCAGGAACAGGACATCTAGATCTCCATACATTTTCTTTAAAAAAAAAAAAATAATAATAAAACCAGTTTCCCCATTAGAACTGCATGGCATGCTCAGAAAGTTAATTTCATGAGAATCACTAAAAACTTAATCTAGTTCTTTTAGAGTAACATCTATGGGGTCAACAGGTGGCAAAGAGGTTAAGATGTCGGATCCCACACAGCTGAATGTGCAATTCTAGTCCCAGGCCTGGTGGTTTGGGTGCATATGTGCCCAAGATCCTAGGAGGAGAATGAAAGAGAAGGGACTGAGGCAAGACCATCCTCTTAGGGGTGGTTTCTCACTTTTCCTCTCTGTCTGTCTCTTTTGGTGGCAAGCATACAAGCCCTATAGGAAAAACAAATAAAGATTAACACCTAGAAGAACCTGAAACTCTTAAAAGAGAGTTTCTTAAAGGATTTATTCCTTTTTTATCTTTCCCAGTATGCTACAGAGCATGTCCACTCACCAGAGAGAGGGAGAGGGAAAGTGAGAAATCACTTCCCATGGGAGATGGCCATGCCTCAATTCCTTCTCCTCTTGGCACTTTGGGCGCACACACGTTTGTGCCCAGCATGTTTGTCAAGCCTCCAGGTTCAGGACTTGAACTGCGCAAGTGGCCATGTCAGACCTAGTTGCCTTAACCTTCAGCCACCTGCTAGACCAGAGGATTTATTCTTTTCACCCAAATCTCTCTCAGAAAGCTCCCAACTTACCTGTAGATATGGTATGGTATATGAGACTTTAATTTAAAAACCAGTGACTTATTGGGGCCTGCAGGTGGTGTGGTGGTTAAAGGCGCTGGATTCCCACATGGCCAACAGTGGTTCAAGACCTAGACCTGGCAGCTCGCTTTCTTGCCTTCCCTTTCTCTCTCTCTCTTTGTCTGGTCAAATTTAAAAAATAATAATAATAACAAATGGAATTAAATAACTAAGTAATTCTTAAAAAAAAGCAACTTATAATTTTCAGGCAATTTATGTTTCCAATCAACTTACGATATAAAAAAATTGCTGTTTTTCACTAAAATTAAGATAAGTAAATGAGAATACAGCATAATCTCTAAGTTCTTCCATAAACATTTGACTATAAGTACTAGTTCAAAAATTTGCTTATTATAAAAATTTCAAGAAGTCTCCTATACTTCTCCATCAATTCAATAAAGACACTTTTCAGGAGTTCTTGTTTCAGCATCAGTACACAGCACACACCGTCACTGCCCCAGTCAGATACTCACCATACAGTCTTGGCAGGTACACAGCTTACTGCGCCAATTCACAGGCCAGTAGGTGGCAGTGTCTTTCTTCATAAACTGCCCAGCTTTAAGCTCCTGGAATTTGCAGCCAGATGGTGATTCTGTGTTGACGCTTTGATTCTTAAACACTGTCTGAAATAAAATTAAGTTTTGAAGTGTATTCTTTACACTATCATAATTTTTATAGTTTAGATTTTATAGAGAGATTTATTTCAGTAAAGGATACAACTAAAATCCAAAGCTACAGAGCTTACAGAATTAATTTTGCTTACATTTTCTTCCTTTTATGGCTTATACTTGGTACACTACCTGGTGATCAGATTCAGAACTAGAGCTGGTGCATGGCTCATTATTCTGCTCTGCGTTAATTTCCCTGGCGGCATCCTTTCCGTGTTCTGGAATGTCCTCTTTGAAGGTACTGTCTTGGTGATCTCCATTTTCAGGTTTGGTAAGTTCCTGATCACCTGTCCCATCGACATTCAGCACCAACCCATCATCTTCAGCAGATACTTTGGTTACTGTGGATTCAATGAAAACACACAGAAACACACATATTTACAGAACTGACAAAGAAATCACTTGTTCTGATTTTAAAATATTTGGGAATCTCAAAAAGGAGAAAAGTCAATCTCTGGAATATTAAGGAAAAAGGAACTACCACACTTCTTTAAGTTATACCTGCCTATCCAAAGAACTCAAATAACTTAAAAAATGTCAGTCAGTACTCAATCAGTTTACAGTAGAGGAGTATTGTAGGTATTGAAGAGAGATGGAATAACCCAAGAATCAAGAGAGAGAAGAAAGAGATCTAACTGTAAAACAGAAGGGTAGTTTGAAACGACTACCAGGTTTTTTTAATACAGAAGGAGGATATCGAAAAGAATGGGTGTAGGGACAGAAATACTGTGAAAGAAAAAGGAGAAAGGGTAAGGAAGCCTGTGTTAAATGGTGCCATTTCAATTTAATAGCAGGGCCAGCAGATGCCTTGGTGGTTAAGGGCACTGGACTCCCACGTGGCCAACTGCAATTTGAGTCCCACACCTGGCGGCTTGGTTTCGCACTTTCCCTCCCTCTCTCACTCTGTCCCTCTCTGGTCAAATTAAAGTAAATAAATAAATAAAGTTAAATAAAATAATTCTTAAAAATAAAAAACCTCTTTTCAATTTAATAGCAGATGAAACTATCTGCTGACAAGGAATGAACTTTAGGAAGAGGAGGAAGATCAATTAAGAAAATCCAATGAATGAGACATTCACATAGGCTCAGGGTCTATGGAAAGGATATGAGAGAAAAAGGGAGCACCAAGTTTAAGAATTGTAAGGCAGGGCTGGCCCCACAGCCTAGTGGTTAAGGGAGCTAGATGCCAAATGGCTACTGAAGTTTGGATGGCCATGCCGCAATCCCTTCTCCTCCATTCTCTTCTCAGGATCTTGGGCACATATGAACACGCGCCTGGTGTGAGTTTAAGCCACTGGGTCCGGGACATGGGAGTCCAACGACACAGTCATTACTACTGGTCCTGGCTGCTGCAGTTTGAATCCTAGCCCTAGCGGAGTGAAAAGCCCATCAGGTGCATGTGTGCACATGCCACAAATCTCAACAGGATGGAGAAATAGAGAAGGGACTGTGGAGTGATCATGCCCCCTTGAGGAGTACTTCCCCCTGCCCTTATGCCTCTCTCTCTCTCTGGCAAACACACATTACCTGGGCAACTTAAAAAAAAAAAAAAAAAAAAAAAAGATTTAAAAGAAAATCAAAAGTATAGGATGAGGGCCAGCCAGTGGCATGGAGGTTGAAGCACTGGATCCCACAAGGTCAGTTGTGCAGTTTAAGTCTTGGACCCAGCGGCTAGAAAATCACACATGTGTGTACATGTCCAAAACCTAAGCGAAGACTGGAGGAGAAGGGACTGTGATATGGCCATTCCCCCAGGAGGTGACCTCTCATTTTCATTTTCTTTCTCTCTCTCCCCCCTGCTCTCTAATGAGTATATGCACTCTACAGCAAAAACTAAAAAAAGAAAAAGAAAGTACAGGATGAGACCTTGCTGTAGGATGAGCTCTTAGGCATGGTTGTGCTGCATGGGGATGAATGGGCAAGTAGTTCCTAACGGTGAGAAGGGCAAAGAATGATGAGAGTTTTATAAAAGTTCATGAAAAAAACTGCATGGATTTCAAAATTTTTGCACCAAAATAAACTTGAACTCATTACGTTTTCCCACAAACTTTTTGAAGTCCCATCATGAGGCCAGAGCAACAGACTCTATGAGTAACTCCACCGTAAAACATGTAACATAATAGCATTACCAATAAGATATTTAATACCTCAAGACCATTCACTGCTGATCAGGCTCAATTTCATAGTGTACACCAAAAGCACTAGATAACAGACTGTATCACACCTGCTATGGTTGGAATGTGTGTTCCCCCAGTTCATTAGACTGAAACCTAATTTCCATCGTATTAGGAGATGAGACCACTTGAACGTGATTAGGTTATGGGGCAGAGCCCTCATAAATAGGATTAGCACCTTTATAAAAAAGGCCTGACGCTGGAGTCCCATGTAGTTCATAGTCCCGAACCTGGTAGCTTAAACTCACGCCAGGCGCACGTGCGTGCATGCCCAAGATTCCAAGAGGAGAATGGAGGAGAATGGATTGTGGCGTGGCCATCCCCCCTGGGGGTGATTTCTCGCTTTCTGTCTCTCTCTGTCATTTTGGCGAGCGCATGCTCCCTGCAGGAAAAAAAAAAAAAAAAAAAAAAAGAGGCCTGAGAGCTCCTGCTTGGCTCTCTCACCACGTGAGGACACTTAGAAATCTCCATCTACGGGACCAGAAATTGGCATAATGGCTATGTCGCTGGACTCCCATGTAGTGGACCGCAGTTCGAGTCCTGGACCCAGTGGCTTAAACTCACACTGGGCATGTGTGCATGCGTGCCCAAGATCCTGAAAGGAGAATGGAGGAAAAGGGCGTGTGGGGCGACCATCCCCCGGGGGGGGAGGGGGGGTGATTTCTCACTTTCTGTCTCTCTCTAGCAAAAACCTCTCAAAAAAAAAATCTCCATCTACAAGGACTGGACCCTCAGCAGACACTGACTGCTAGCAACCTTGATCTTGGACTTCCCAGCCTTCAGAACCATGAGCAATAAATTTCTATTGTTTCAGGGACCATCATTACTTTGCTGGACTCTCACATAGTCGACCACAGTTTGAGCCCTGGACCTGATGAATTAAAAAAACTCATGCCGGGCATGTGTGCGTGTGTGCCCAAAATCCCAAGAGGAGAATGGAGAAGGGATTGTAGCATGGCCATTTCCCCCTAGGGGGTGATTTCTTGCTTTCTCTGTCTCTTTGGCAAGCACATGTACCCTATAGCAAAAATCTCTCAAAAAATATTTTTTCTAGGGAACCAGCAGTTAGCGTAATGGCTATGTCGCTGGGCTCCCATGTAGTTGACCGTGGTTCGTGTCCCGGACCTAGTGGCTTAAATCTCACACCAGGCGCGTGTGTGTGTGTGCCCAAGATCCCGAGAGGAGAATGGAGAAGGGATTGCGGCGTGACCATCCCCCCTGGGGGGTGATTTCTCCCTTTCTGTCTCTATGTCTCTCTCTGTCCTATAGCGAAAAAAAAAATTTTTTTTCTATTGTTTCTAAATAACTCAATTTTATTATAGCATCCCAAATGGATTAAGATGCCATCTCTTGGGACCAGCAGTTAGCATAATGGCTATGTCGCTGAACTCCCATGTAGCTGACCATGGTTCGAGTCCCGGACCCGGTGGCTTAAACTCACGCCGAGCGCATGTGCATGCGTGCCCAAGATCCCAAGAGGAAAATGGAGGAGAAAGGATTGCGGCATGGCCATCCCCCCCGGGGGGTGATTTCTTGCTTTCTATCTCTCTGTCTTTCTGGCCAGCGCGCGCGCCCTATAGCAAAAAATGCTCCAAAAAAAAAAAAAAAAAGATACCATCTCTTCCCCAACTGTAGCATGGTGTGTGTGTGCGCAATGTTGCCAGAAGGTACATACACATGCCAGAAAGAGGGGGAAAGGGAGAAAGCACCCCCCCATGAGAAATGGTCATGCCATAATCACGTCTCCATTTCTCCTGTTGGGATTTGGGTATGCACACATGCACCCAGTGTGTTTCTCAAGCTCCCAGGTATAGGATTTGAACTGCACAGCTGGCCATGTGGGATCCAGCTGCCTTAACCACCAAGCCACAGGCTGGCCTGCCAACCAATAGTATGTTTTATATTTAATAACTTATTTTAGTTCTATTTATCTTTCAAAATCCCTTTCAAAAGCTACCTCATCCATTTTTTCTAATTCTGGTCTCAATTATACTGTGCTCTACACCAATAAAGTACAAATTTGTTCTTGGTATTCTCCCACCCAATCTATAGGCTACCTTATAGAAAGGAAATATGCATGCTGTGTTATTTTCTATACCTTAAACTCCAATTACAAATAATTGCCAGCCAGTGCGTGGCTAAGGCACTGGACCCCAAATGGCCGACTATGTGGTCCAAGCCCTAGACCTGGCAGCTTGAAAAACATGTTGGGCACATGTGCGTACATGCTCAAAATCCCAGAAGAATGGAGAAGGGACTGCAGTGCAGCTATCCCCCTAGAGAATCTCTCACCTTCCTCTCTCTCTGTCCCTGGTGAGAGCATATGCCCTATAGCCACTAAGAAAAAAAAGCAGTCACTAGAAATCCTGGATTAAACATCCAGATTTTACAAGCACAGGTTTGTGAACCTACCTGCCAGCTGTGCAGCATAAGCCCACAAGAAAGAACAACGCTTCATGCAAGCCTGGCACACCATCTCTTGGAAATCCCCACTCTCGGGGGGCATGGCACCAAGATGCTGTCAATACAGAAAACCAAGTGTTATTACTGTGATCTCCACGTTGTCCTATGATTTTATCAACAAATATTGTACTTGCACAAGATTGTTTCTTTATAGTTTATTTTTAAGAGAGTAATTATAACATAAAATAGAATAACTCAAAAGGAAAAGATACTTTATCTTTTGGTGGTGACAATGGCTTTAAAATGTAAAAGTTGGGACCAGCAGGTGGTATGGTAGTTATGGCACTAGACTCACATGTGGCTGAATGCAGTTAAAGTCCTGGTCCTGGCCACTTGGAAATCATGCCAGGCATGTGTGTACATACCCAAAATCCCAGGAGGAGAATGGAACAGATGGGATTTTTGTGTGGCCATCCCTCCAGGGGATGATTTCTCACTTTCCCTCTCGCTGTCTCTCTGTGTCTCTCTCTGGCGAGCACATGTACCTGATGGCAAAACCTAAGGAAAGAAAGAAAGAGAGAGAGAAAGAAAGAAAAAGTTTTCCTTACCCTTCCATGGAACCAGTCTTCACAGACTACACACTGGATCATCTCATCTGGAATCTAACACAGAAAAGCTGTTTGTTAATGATTACACTAAATTCTAGGACATGGAAGGAAACGGAATTAGATATTAGACAGTTCTCTACCAACTCTTTGAGACCCCCGTATCCATGCAATAGTACTCAGGGGATAAAGAAATTCATTCTTGCAAGCCATTATCAAAGCTTTCTCATATCAGTTATTTAATATCTAATTCGTACAAAACTTTATAGATAAGTAAGGCATTCCCATGTTATATTAGAAAGTAGTATGAAGTGACCAATACAGAATATGACAACTAGAACTTTGACCATACTATGCTTCCAAGTAATCTGAATAGTAAAGCTATAAACAATCTCTCAATAAAATAGACAACTTCTCTAATTTGGATAAAATAAATAATTAAATGCTGACTTTAGGAAAATTATACACCAAAGGACACGAATTGTTTTGGGGATTGTTTTATGTCATTCCCAGGCTTTCATATCTACTAATTAACATCCTAATGTTATCCTTTTCCTATTGTGCTTTCTTTTTTTTTTCTTTGGAGAGGTTTTGGCTATAGGGTGTGTGTGCTCACAGAAAGACAGAGAGAGACAGAGAGCCCAAAGCAAGAAATCACCCCCGAGGGGGGATGGCCACACCATAATCTCTTCTCCTCCATTCTCCTCTTGAGATCTTGGGCACTCATGCACATGCGCCTGGTGAGAGTTTAAGCTGGGTCTGGGACTCGAACCACAGTCGACTACATGGGAATCCAGCAACATAGCCATTACGCCAACTGCTGGTCCCCCTACTGTGGTTTCTTAAAGGGAAGAAAAAAGCATACACACACAGCAATTTTATTTTTTTCTACTTTTAGGAATTTATTCATCATCTTTTTTCTTTTTTCTCTTCTTTTCTGCCAGAGTACATATGTGCTCACCAGTGAGAGAAAGAGAGACAGGAAGAGAACTCCCTCTGCCAGTGGAGTATGGTCATGCCACAATCTTTTTCCCTCCATTTCTCTTTCCTCTCAGGATTTTGGGCACCCATGTACGCATGCTGGAGTGTTTTTTCAAGCTGCTGGATCTGGGACTGGCTAGGTGTGATCCAGCACCCAATGCTCAGTGCTTATAATCACTGTGCCACGGGGCCAGCCCACATCATCTTATTTTTTTGTCTTTTGATTAAACAGGTTATAATTAACACTTTGCCCATACCTTAAAATACCTGGTTTCAGGTTTTATTTTTACCTCAAAGATATCTTTAATTTGTTCTTCTATATAAATTGGCTTAATAATTATAGTCTAAAACCATTACGAAGTAGAGAAGGGGCCAATAGGTGATGCGGAGGCTGAGACAAATGGATTCCACATGGACAACTGTGTGGTTCAAGTCCTGGATCCTGCAGCATGAAAATTAAGCTGGGCACATGTGTGTGCATGCCCAAGATCCTGAGAGAGGGATGGAGGAAAAGGGACTACAATGTGATCATCCCCCCCCAGGAAGGTGATTTCTCATTTTCCCTCTCTCTCTCTAGCAACCACATGCACCCTATAGGAAAAGCTAAAAGAAGAAAAAAAAAAGGGGGGGGAGTTATACAGTGAAACACACATTCACTCACTTTTATGTACACAGAAAAAGACCTAGAAATATATATACCAAAAAGGGTTAACTGTGGCTCTGACTGGGACGTAAGAAGCACAGGACTGAGGAAGCATTCTTTTTAAATTCTGCATAAACTTTAAGAATTACTTATTTCATTTTATTATTGTTAACAAATCCCATCTGTTAATTTGACTGGAAAGAGAGAAAGGGAAAGTGAGAAAGCAAGTCATCAAGTCCAGAACGTGAACCATGGTTGCCCATGTGGGAGTCCAGCACCCCAGCCACTATTCAATGTGCCAGCCCAAAATTCTACATAAGCTTATTTTTAAAAAATAATTATTTTTAAAAATAATTGTCATTATTTTTCAATTTGACCAGAGAGAGAGACAGAGAGAGAGAAAGTGAGAAAACAAGCTGCCAAGTCCAGGACTCAAACTGTAGTCACCCATGTGGGAGTCCAGCACCTTTAACCATCATGCCACCTGCTGGTCCCCTGCAGAAATTTTTGAGATTTTTTAAAGAGATTTTTTTTTTTTAATTTACTTACTTACTTACTTATTTGTTGTCATTTTGGGGCCGCAGAGTCCAGGACTTGAACCCATGGTTGGACATGTTAGAGTTCAGCACCTCAACCACCATGCTACCTGCTGGCCCCATTCTAATTGAGATTTTTAAGAGGACCCAGTTTGAACACCTATTTCTTTTTTAGACTATGTTTGATGGTGGAGCAGGCAGACAGGAAAGAGGATGAAAAAGAAGTTCTGGCCTTGGCAAAGTCCTCTCCAGTATTTCATTCTTAAAATGTAAGGAGAAGAGCAGCTGAAATCTGTACCGGGCATCAATCCAATAGATTCATAAGAAGGATAAATCTAGCATCTTCTCACAATCTCAAAATCCCTTCTGAAGAGTCAAGGCTAAAAATGACACAATCCTAGGAGTTAATCTCCAATTCTCTTACCTCATCTTCAGGATCAGGATAAGGTCTCTTGCAAATGCAGTATAATCCAAAAAAGTTGTCATTGTACTTATTGCCAGAATTTACCTTAGTTTTGTCCTGAAAAGTAATAATAATTTCAGTATATAATATGGCTTAAACTTTAATTATAATTTCATGCATCACAGAAGTTATGCATTAAATATATTCTCCCTAGAAGTTATTTTCTTTCTTTTCAGAAGGTAGGCTTTAATTTTCAAAACATTAAGAAGAAAAATTTATTCTTACTAAAAGGATAGAGATTCTTTTTCTAGGACACAAGGAAAAAATAAAATTTACTTTTTGCAAGTCCTTGTAGCAACTGGAGAAAACTGCAAATGCCCATTCAATAAGATGGAGATAAAAGTTGGGAACAGCAGATGGCATAATGGTTACATCACTGGACTCCCACATAGTCAACTGTGGTTCGAGTCCCAGACCTGGTGGCTTAAAACTCATGCTGGGTGCATGTGCGTGCGTGTATGTCTGTATGTGTGCGTGCGTGCCCAAAATCCCCAGAGGAGAATGGAGGAGAAGGAATTGTGGTGTGGCCATCCCCTCTGGAGGGTGATTTCTTGCTTTACGTCTGTCTCTCTGACGAGCACGCATGCTTTAGAGCAAAAATCTCTCTTAAAAAAAAAAAGAGAGAAAAAAAGGGAGACAAAAGTTACTCCTAACTATTAATTATCAACCTACGTAAACTGACATTGGCCTAGAATTTCAAAGTACTACTTTATGCACAGCTATGATAGCAAAGACCCCCAGGTTACCAGGAGACAAACAGTTTGTCTAAATCTAACCATCTAAGAAGAGGAAAAGCATAGCAGTTTTGGCAACCATGACTGAACAAAGAAACATTTCTTACTTTCTCCTTTATTTCTGTTATTTCACTAAATGTTATCATTTAAGTGTGGCTTTTATTAGTCAAAAAGCAATGAAAATATCCTGTGTGCATCTAGACCACATTCATTATCATCAAGTTTTACTTATTCTGTTTTTAAAATGATATCCTTTGCTTGAAAAGCTTCAGAACATGAGTACAACCAATATAAAAGAATATTTTCTCCAAAAAACTTTCAAATTAGCATAGTCTATATTATGGGCTTATTTACTTTTTCCAACAAAGTAAAAAACATTAAAAAAAAAAAAAAAAAATAGACACCCATCTGCAAAAAATAAGCATAAAAACTGCCTTTTTGGAAAATACCTGGTTTTTACCCACTCTGGAAAATATCAACCTTACCTCTTCTAACTGCATTTATAATTATAGTGCTTACTTACAGGAAATAACTTGCATTCCAAATTTTTAAATTTGCTGTTTCCACAATCACACCGAAAATTCCTAAGAAAGAAGAAAGACCCATTTTACTTTTCTTTTAAATCTAATAAAGTACTCTGTAAACTCAAATCATAGCCTCTTCTCTTTTCAACTCATTTCCAGGAACTAAAAAGTGGCTTTAGGGCCAGGAGGTAGCCTGGTGGTAAAAGAAGCCAGATCACATATGGCTAACCATGTGGTTTGAAGTCTCAGATCTGGCAGTTCAAAAACACACTGAAGGGGACCAGAGTTAGCGTAATGGCTATGTCGCTGGACTCCCACAGTCGACAGCAGTTCACGTCCCGGACCCAGTGGCTTAAAATACGCCGGGTGCGTGTGCGTGCGTGCCCAAGATCCCGAGAGGGGAATGGAGGAGAAGGGACTGCGGCGTGGCCATCCCCTCTGGGGGGTGATTTCTCGCTTTCTGTCTCTCTGTCTCTCTCTGTCTGTCTGGCGAGCACACGCACCCTATAGCAAAAACCTCTCCCAAAAAAAAGAAGAAGGAAAAAAAAAAAACCACACTAAACACATGTGTGTATTTATGTGTGTTCAAAATCCAGACAGCATGGAGAAATGAAGAGATTGCTGCATGACTACATCCCATTATGGGGGATGGGGGGCTTTCTCCCTCTCCCTCTGTCTCTCTGGCAAGTGAAATAAAAAGTGTCTTTAGGGGCCAGCAGGTGGCATGGTGGTTGGGGTGCTGGGACTCCCACACGGCCAACTGCTGTTAGAGTCCTGGACCTTGCGGTTAGCTTTCTTACTTTCCCTCTCTCTTCCTCTCTCTCTCTGACTGTCTCTGGGTAAATTGAAAATAATAATAATGATGATAAAGAAAAATAATTCTAAAAAAAAAAGTGTCTTTGCTTATTATACATGTACCCAATTTGGAATTTCTCTAAGCACATAACAAAGATTTTGTAATACTGGAAATAAATACACATAAAGACAACTATTCACAGCATACAACTACACACAAAAGTAAAATAGCAGCTGAAAAGGTGACTAGTTTGAGTTTGTAATCTATGGTTATCTAAAAAAGATAACCATATCTTTTTTCCTCTGGAAAGGTTTTTGCTATAGGCACATGCACTTGCCATAGAGAGAGACAGAGAGACAGAAAGCGAGAAATCAACCCCCAGGGGGGATGACCACGCCACAATCCCTTCTCTTCTATTCTCCTCTCAAGATCTTGGGTACACACGCACACACATATGGCGTGAGTTTAAGTCACAGGGTCCAGGACTTGAACCGCAGTCGACTACATGGGAGTCCAGAGACATAGCCATTACACCAACTGCTGGTTTCCCATAACCATATCTTAAAAGGTCTTATGGAGCCAGTCAGTGGTGTGGTGGTTAAGGCAGCTGAATCCCACATGGCCAACTGCATGGTTTGAGTCCTGGGACTCAACAGACTGAAAAACACAATGGGTGCATATTCATTAGTGCCCAAAATTCGGAGAGGAAAAGGGATGAAAAAGGACTGTGGTATAGCCATCCCCACGGAAAGGTGCTTTCTCACTTCCCCTTTCTCCAGTAAGCACACCTACCCTATGCAAACTAAAAACAAAAGCCTCATGGGAAAACTATCCTCTGATTAGATTATATGAAACAATTATATTAGATTTCACTAGGGCACTACTTTGTACATTCAACTAGTTTGAATGAAAAAACAAGATTATAAAAGTATCTGGGAGAACAGCAGATGGCATCATGACTACATCACTGGACTCCCGCATAGTCAACCATGGTTGACTATGTCCCACACTGGCTTAAAACTCATGCCAGAAGCATGTGTGAGCATGCCCAAAATCTTGAGAGAATGGAGAATGGATTGTGATGTGACCATTCCCCTAGGAGGTGATTTCTTGCTTTCTGTCTCTCTGGTGAGTGTACATGTCCCGTAGCAAAAATCTCTCTTATAAAAACAAACAAACAAAAAAGGTATAGCTGGGGGCTAGCTCTGTAACTTGATGGTTAAGGCAGATGAATCCCACATGGTCAACTCCATGGTTCAAGTCCCAGACCTGGCAGCTTGAAAAAGACATGCCATATGGCCAAAATGCTGACAGGATATAGAAATGGAGAAGAGATTACAACTTGACCATTTCCCATGGGGGTATTTCTCACTTTCCCTCCCTCTGTTTTCTCTGGCTCATACACAGCGCTCTGAAAAATGGGGAAAACAAAACAAAACAAAACAAAAGGTGTAGCTGGGAAATGATCTAAACATTTAGGAAGCATTCAACAACAATCTAACTGCACAATACCTTTTTGTGTATAGCTCGAATAGTTTATGACTTCCATGACATTCATAACTGCAAGCTAGGCAAATCCCTGCTGGTTCTTCTCCCTCTGGGGTACAGGTACTACAGGCATATAGGGCTTGTCTCTTTACTGACCCCTAAAAGACAGTACCAAAATGGAAAAAGAGAATAAACCCATATAATAGCAGTTACCTAATACCCACACTGTGACCTGAGAAATAATTAAAATCAGATGATCTGTGGTCATCTTCCTGTAAAAACCATAAGACTATTAAAAAAAAAAAAAAAACACTGTTGCATGTTTTATATCTATACTAGTGCTTGTTTTCACACAATTTTTTCTTAAAGTGTCAGGAAGTTTAAATTTGTCAACTAGCTGTGAATAGGTTGGCTGCTTAATCAATTTAACATATGAAAAAAGGAGGAAAATGCATACAGATTTATGTTAAGTAAAATTACATTTTAATTTTGGAAAATGTTGTCATTCCACCAAAAGGAAATTCAATGCATGAAAAAGAATCTCTTTGATTCTTAGGATATGCATGCTGACATATTTATAGTGTCGTCATGTTTGCAGTTCATTTTCAAATATTCCTTCCCCCAGAAAAGCAAAGTATATTATTGAGAGGAGAAAGATAAAACAAATGACGCAAAATGTGAATACATCTAAGAGGTACACAGATGTTCATAATAGTATTCTTACAACTTATCTGTAAATTTTAAGATGTTTCAAATTTTTCAAATTGGAAGAAAAAAGGCAAACTTTTAGAAATGTTGGTAACAAGTTATCGCCATTTAGGAAGGATGGAGACGCACAGAGAGGCTTCTGGATCGTCAGTAACGTTCTACTGATCTGAGTGGTGGTACATGTGCATGGGTTCACTTTTCTTTCCAATCTCTGCATGAAATTTGGGTGATCTCCATATGTTTCACTATAATTAAAGAGAAATTGAAGGAAGTTCTTTTTATTAAACTAACTACATTTCCTTTATTTATTTATTTTTTTTAAGAAAAGTGGGAGCGGGACCAGCAGTTGGAATAATGGCTATGTTGCTGAACTCCCATTTTTGAGTCCCAGATCCAGTGGCGAAAACTCATGCCTGGTGTTTGTGCATCTGTGCCCAAGATCCCTAGAGGAGAATGAGGAGAAGGGATTGCGGTGTGGCCATCCCCCCTGGGAAGTGATTTCTCGCTTTCTGTCTCTCTGTCTCTCTCTGTCTTTCTGGCGAGCTCATGCACCCTAGAGCAAAACAAACAAACAAACAAACAAAACTCTCCAAAAAAAAAAAAAAAGAAAGAAAGAAAGAAAAGCAGGAAATAAGTTGTTTTAGTGGTGACCAAAGGTTTTGAAATACCAGCCAACATCTGGGACTATCTCTACACCAAGCTTAATCAATATACAACTTGGTCAATGATGACAACTAGTATTATGATCTCAGTTTGTACTACATAATGACTATCTCCTCTCATTTCCTAGTGTTCCCCTCCACCCACCTGCCTAGGTAACCTTCTTCCTACTACCAATTGTCATCTCTTTTTAGTTTTCTTCCTACCCACCTTCTCCAGTTTTGTACCTAGAGATGTAAGATGAGTCACCAGCACTACATTACACCCCCTCGAATCCTTGTTCACCATGTCTTCCAAATGCCAAACAGATCCCTTCCTCCACTCCTCCCCTCCCTTGCCAGGGCCACCTGCTGTTCTCGTTCAGTCCATTTGGGGGAGGCAGGGACAGACTGCAGATAGACAGGGTGTACTTGCTCCATTTCCCAAGAAAAGGGTTATTATAGCTAGCACTTACCGAACTAAATTGCTGAGCAGCAAACCTCAAGGAGCCCACCCCACACGGCGAGATTTTCAAATCCAGAGCTCTTTCCTTTACATCTACTTTGTCTCTCCCACTTGGTCCCTAATAAATAAATACTTTTGGCGGGGGGCAAAAATAAGGACCAAAAAGTCTGGATTTGAGAGATCAGGGGATGGTTCCGTGAAAAGCAGCAGGGACACCAAGAAGAGGCTCCAGAGGAAGGACAGAGCAGCTACTGGAGAGGCCCTTGGGGGAACGACTGAGCGGGGAGGGAGGCCCCTGCTGGACGCAGGCTGCGGAAGGGGGCCCAGAGGCTGAGAATGAAAGGGTGGCTGGGCCTGGGCCGGGGAGGCCCAGGGCAAACCGGCCGCGGACCGCTACAAGGGAGTCAACTGTGGCGGGAGGATTAGGGAGAGCCTGGCGGGAAGGAGGTTCCGCGAAGCCTGGGGGAGACGAGGCCCGGGCCGCGCGCCCACCTGCGAGTAGGAGCACTTCTCCGAGTCGCTGCCGCCCAGGACCGCGCATGCCTCGTTCTCCAACTCCTCGTCCTCCTCAAGTACGTCGACCAGCGATACCACGGGCTCCAGCTCCGACCGCCGCCCAGCGGAGCCCTCAGCTCCGGCCATCCTCAACTGTCACCCAGAACAAGCTCGGCCCCGGTGGAGGCGGGAAAAACAGACGCGAGAGGCGTGGCCGGAGGAGGCGGGGCCTGAGTACCAGGAACCAATCCCAAAGGAAGAAAGCAAAGGAAGGGGGAGGAGCGACTTCCCACAAACGGAAGTCACTCCTCTCCCTTCTCCCGCCTGCGCCGGCCGTGGCCCCGTTTCCGCTTCCGGGCGGTGCCTCCCTGTGGCGCGCTCTTGAAGCTAGGCGGTCGCCATGGAGCTCTTGGGAGAGTATGTCGGACGGGACGGGCAGCGGCAGCGGCTGCGCGTGCCCTGTGAGGCGCCAGGTAACGCTGACCGTTTCCAAGTCCTGTTGTTGGCCCAGATGAAAGATCTGATACCCGATTTCTTCGACCCGCTGGTACGGCGGGAAGCGCAGGACCGAGTGGCTGCACCGCCAGACGAGGCCTCGGACGGTGAGCTATGAGAAGGTGCTGGAGCGACCGGAGGGCGGGCGGAACGGCCTAGGGTGGCAGACTTTTGCATCTAAACGTTGTTGGCACTCATTGCCGTACTTGTTTGGGCCGCTTCTACGCAAGCATTTTCATGACTCTCAGCCCTGTTCATTTATGTCATTTTTAAAAACCGCTCTGCTTACTACTCCATGCTAGGCATTAGTCTGAACTCTGCAGAATGGGGTGAATGCGACTAGGTTCTTGCCCTTATGGAACACTTCTCTGTGGCCCTCAGTAACTGTTGGAAACCGAGAAGAATCCCGGAAGGCTTTAGAGCGGGCGTGACTTGGGCTGGATGTTCAAGAATGAAAAGGAGTTTTAACAGGTGTAAAATTACAGACATACTTGGAAAAGTGCTATGAGTTTACACAAATTGGAAAAATAGGGATAGACTTCAGTTTTACAAGTTCTAACTACCAAGGACTTTTTCTGTATCTCAGTTTTGTAGGTGCAGTTAGAAAGTAAAAAGGTGAAGCTTAACTGCGTTAATTTTTTTTCTTTTTCCTAAACTCTTAAGTACAAAAATAGGTGCATTTTGACTGTCCTCAGCTGGAACTCTTAAGAACTAGATATTGGAGTCAGGACTTAACTATTCTTTAGCAGAACTAAAATTGTGCTTTGCTTTCCTTCCCAGCTTATTTACATCTTGATAATGTGAATGTTGGCTATGATCAAAAGAATAAATGTTGGCTAGGAGGTGAAGAAATTGGAGACCTCATAGCTGGTGGTGTATATGTAAAATGGTGTATCCATTTGAAAAAGTTTGGCAGTTCCTCAAAAAAGTTTTTACACAAAAAGTGTATTTATAACATTCATAGCAGCATCTTTCAGTTACCTAAAAGAGTGGAAATAGCACAAATGTCCATCAGTTGGTGAGTGCATAAATAAAATGTAGGATGCCCGTACCTTGGAATATAATTTCACAATAAAAAGGATTGTATTGATACATGCTACTGTGAATGAACCTTGAAAATGTTACGTAAGTTGAACAATTCAGGTACAAAAGGCCATATATTACATGGTTATACTTATATGAATAGGCAGATCTATAAAGATAGAAAGTAGATTAATAGTTGCCAATAGCTCAAGAGAATGGAAAATAATTGCTCATGGATTTGGGGTTTCTTTTGGAGAGTAATGGTATACACTATGAAATTGTGTGTGTGTGTGTTTTCAATGAGGTTTTTTTTTTTTGCTATGTGAGGGGGGTGTGCTCACCTGAGAGAAAGAAAGACAGACAGAAAATCACCTTCATTGGGGGATGGCCATGCTGCAATCCCTTCTCCACCAGTCCCCACTTGGGATTTTGGGTACAGGCACCTGGCTGCTTAGGGCACGGGTGCCCGATGTGAGTTTTAAGCAACCAGGTTCCGGGCTTGAACTGTGGTTGACTACGTGAGAGCCCAGCAATGTAACCATTACACCAACTGCTGGTCCCAGAAATAGTGTGTTTTAAATGACTGAATTTCAGCTATCAGTGGGTGGCATGGTGGTTATGGCACTGGACTTGTACGTGGTCAGTTATAGTTCGAGTCCCAGACTGGTGTCTTGAAAATGACCCTGGGTGCATGTGCATGCATCTCCAAAATCCCAGGAGGAGAATGAATTGCAGTATGGCCATCTCCTTTAGGGGTTGATTTCTCATTTTCCCTCACTCTGTCTCCCTGTGGTGAGTGCATGTGCCCTTTGGCAAAAACCTAAAATACATTTAAAAAAAAAAATATATATATATATATATATGTTGTGTGTGTGTGTGTGTGTGTGTGTGTATACATATGTATAGTGAATTTTATCAGAAGTGAATTATAGCTCAAAAAAAGTGATAATAAAGGTTTAAAACACTGCAGTTCCTAAAATCTTTTTAATCTAAAATGGATATAGTTGTATTAATCTCTAAAGGAAATGTTATTAACTAGATAACATTGTTGTTTTGACTATATTTCTTTCAACCACTGAATGTAATATCGTACAACAAATATTTATTTTGAAAGGTCATGACGAAGATGATGCAGAAGATGAAAAATACATTGGTAACACACCTAACTCAGATGGACCATCTGCAAAACGGCCCAAACCGCCATCTTAACGATAGCGTTTATGACGTTTAAGAGACTTCTATTATATCCTAATTATCACAAACTGACATTGAAGGATAGTTTGTGCTCCTGTTTGGAGAAATGGTTATTTTATTCTGCGGGGACAATTGTTTGTCAGAGAAAGCTGTTTCTTATGTTTCTAACAAAGAAGATAAATGTTTAGAAGTGAAATCTGTTTTCTTGTGAGAGAAATAAGCTTTAGGCTATGGAATAAAATAGAACACTTCATAATATATAGAGTCCTCTAAATTGGGAAGTGAATTTTATCATTTTATTCTACTTTTAAAATAACCATTGAATTGAACTGTGTCATATCTACATCTTTTAGCCTTTGCTTCTGTTATGAAAGGTGTATGTCATGGTTTATAGGCAAGAACGTTTCAAAGAACTGACAAAGCAAGTGATGAAACAGGGTATTACATATCAGAATGTCAGTTCTTTATAAAGGGAAGGGAAAAAGGAAACAGAAATACTAAAGAGAAAGGAAAGTCCTTGAGAGAGACCCAAGAAGACCTTGAATTCACAGCTACATCCCATGTATACATACCCACATATACCACTTAACAATGTGTATTAATTTTATGATTTATCTTGTATCTTAAGAGAGCCGGGTGAGTTATGTTTTCATGCTGTGCTACATGTATGTACATAAGTGCAAACATAAGGCCTTAAATAAACAATCATGTTGACTGTGACTTGGATACTGCTTCTCCTCCTGTAGCCACACTTCAGGCTTAACAAAGGACTGTTGAATGCGTTTAAATACATATATTCAGAAAATTTACGTGTATGTGTATGTATTCCTTTTCTACTGGTCAGTAGAACTAAGTCATTTTTAAAATGTACTGTTTATCCTTTCTGATTAGATAACCAAAATACAAAGAAATCAAGCAGCCTATACTTACTGAAATA